AGGAGAACTGGAGTGGGGAAAAAAGGAAAACATGTTTAGAAACTCAGAAATGTTGAGAACAAAGTGATACAAGGAAAAGGTTGGTGAGCTGCTGCTGTTCTTGAGCTAATATGGTGCTGGAGTTTTTGACACATTGTCTGGAATAATAAATTCATCAGTCTGAGAAGGGAAAATACATTAATTGTTACTTTTCTGATAGGGAGGGTGATGTCTATCAAGGTTTGAAATCGGGGTGAAGACTTTGTGGTGTTTCAAATCAATGTATTTTATCTGAACAATTTGCATTTTTATGGTTAAAGCAAAATAAAAAGTAGATCATGAAGTACGTATTGTGAGACTGTCTAGGAGACAGGTGTCTGTAGAAGATCTAAAATATTTAGAGAGTGAAGTTCTTCTGTCCAGTAGTGAGAAAGTAACTGGGGAAAAGCTACAAAAGCTGAAACCAGGGCTAGCCTTCTGTAGAAACCCAGCATGCCTCTTCATCCAGTAGTTGCTGGTCATCATCTTACCAAAACTGTTTTCTTGTTTGTAGATTATGGAAGATTTTGTTTTTAGTCAAAAGATTTGTCTAATGCTACTGTGCAGCATTTAGTCATCCATGCCAGTTTCAAACAGATGGGTTCTGGGATTAGACACGGTCGAAGTATGAAGCATGTATTCCAATGCAGTTTATGAACCCAAGGAAGTAATTAATAAAATTAAGTAATTAATACTATAATATTTTATTAACTACTTTCCAAAAGGGGTGAGTTTTATAGCAGATCAAGTCTGTGATTGAAGATTTGACTAGGGTTGCAATTGTCCAGGTGCAAAAGTTTTTATATAAAAAAGGTCAATCATACAACGAATGCAAACTGGAAGCTGTGTATCTGCTGTTGTCTTTGACAGGGTCTGATGGCAGGCCATTTTCATCTACTATACTACCAGCATTTATCACTTTTAAACCATAGCCATTGCTTTTTCTTAAATTCTTCTTGGGGACCTAATAATTATTATAATACTATAGAATTATGATGTTAATATAATTATTACTATAATAAATTATCGTAACAGTGAAAGCAAAATGCAGTTGAAGTGGTTTATTGGTATAGTATTTCAGTCTCTCTCTTCCCCTCCAAGAATTCAGAAGGCAACATACTTATGCTTCCTAATATGTCATGCCCATGTTGACAAATGCATCAGTAGCATAAAGAAATTCTGGTAATGTCAGACTTTTTAATTTGATAGAACAGCAGTAAAATTCTAGTTTGCTGAGTGGGGCTGAATGCTTTATCTTGTAATATCTATCAGTTGGTAATGCGTTTGGTTTGAATGGCAAAAGGAAGTATCCCAGTGAATTTCAGGAATTTGAGGGAGCCTGGGCCAGAGGAGCAGGAAGCCTGTAGTCTCTAAACAGATTTGCGTTTGAAGAGAAATCCGTTGGCAAGGGCTTTTCTTTTGTGCAATGGCCTACTTTTTCTTGCCTGTAATGTTATGTGTCTACTTTGAACAGCGCTTAAGCAGTTAAAACTGCTTGAAATGTGTTAAAGCAGTGATTTTTCTAGCTTACCATTAGATGGACTCTTTTAATTAAAAAAAACCCAACCAAACAAACCAAAACACAAACTGATTATTTTTTCCAATTTTGGAATAGCAAGAAGATTTAGCTGTCATTAGAATTGTGTCAGTAGCATTTCATCATTTCTGTATAGCACTAATTGTTTGTATGTCTAGTACGACATAGGTTGATTCTGCAACCTCCTACCTGAATGTTCTCTAAAGAGTATGTTAGGTTTCATTGTTAATCTCTAAATTAATTACAGAAATCCAGCATCATTGGCAAATGTATGCTCTGTGAGCAAGGCCAGTAGAGAAATACAGGATAAGATGGCAAGATTAATCAATTCTAGAGGTTAGTGCTGTTATTTCCCTGGTGTGCAGGACAAATGGCTTTTGGAATTCAAGTTAAAAGATATCCCTGCCCTTCCGATAGAGCTACATGGGCCTTCTAAAATGGGATAAATATGTATCATTCTCTTCTGTTCTGCTTTGTATATGTAATGCTTTTCCATTCCCAGTTAATGAAAAAATCTGGTCTTCATTTTTTCTGCATTTTTGTGATGGTCTGAATTAGGTCGTTACTTGGTCTGTGATACAAGAAAATGTTTTTGAGAGCTGCTTCTGTTTCTTCTTTCTGTTCCTCCCCTCGTCTCCTTTTGTATGAAGTGCTGCTTGATTTCTTTGTTTGACATGTAATTCCTTATTCCTTCTCCTGGCTTTTCTTATTATTTTAGCCGTTTCAAAGTGCGTTATTTCCCTGCTGCTCTGTGAGGGTGTAGTTGCTTGTGCAGCTTACTCCTGTCTGCCTTTTTCTGTGATACTACTGTGTGAAAGGTGAAGAGGGGAGTTGCACTATAACTCTTGAAAACCAAATACTTGATTCCATGTGATACGAACAGTGTCATGGTCAAGATCCCTGTTGAAAGTTAATGACATCTCCAGAGTTAACAAAAACCTGTTGTGTTGACATGACCAGTTTTTGTTGGGTAGTTGATACTTATGTTTCTGTAGGTAATTCTCTTTTATGACTTTAAAAGTTGGCAGACATAGAAACGGTTCACTGGGGACAAGAAAGAAGGCAGGATGCTTGAAGAGGGCCATGTTGGAGGTGTATGAGAACAGGTTATATTTTTCTTTTTCAAGTTTATTGCTTGAGTTGTGCTGGAAACATAGAATGGTTTGGGTTAGAAGGGACCTTAAAGTATCATCTAGTTCCAGCCTCCATAAAGTTGCGTGCTTTTACAGGCAACTGAGCTGTCATCCCAAGTACTGAAAACTGTGAAGGTACAAGGTGAATGCCAATGTTCTGTTTTTCTGAGACTGTATGTGAAATAGTTATGGTTGGCCAGGAGGTCAAGTTAACACTACTATAGCTGCAACTACAAGGATGTGGAAGGATGCTGTTTCTGCATATGTGGATTTACAGAAGTCACTGCTCTTGGATGCCATTATGCTGGTAAAGGTGTATTCTGTACTCTAATGGCTGGTATGCTTCTGTGGGTAGCTTTATGGCAATGCAAAGCTTGTCTTTCTGGAGCTTACAGTTGTTCTGGGAGTGCTTTGCTGGTCTAGCATGCAGAGGTTTCTGAGTTGAAGCATTCATAGTGTTTATATAACTTAATAGATTCTATTCTAATAGACTCAGAGGAACTTTTTCCCCCCAGATCCTTTGCTCTGGATAGGAGAAGAAACGATGATTTTCTTGTCCCCTTCCTCCCCTTTTATTTTAACTGTTCCTCTTGTTAGTTGTAGAACAGTACTGCGCTACCCACAGTGATGACTTATGAGGTAGCAATCGATAAAAGATGGCCTGATAACAAAGGCTGAAATGATTTGTACCTGAAAAATCATTTCATTGATTTCAAGGACAGTGAAATTACAATGAGTATGGTAGGGGCTGAGAATGGACATCACAGCATATAAAACCTAGCCATGTTTGCTAAACCTAAAGATTGCTGAAAACTTGTCAGATGGAGAGAAGCACTAACTCTAGGGTCAAGGTGTTATATAATATTTTCTGTGTAATGCTCTGCTTTTCCTCATAAATATGTAAGAGAGGTTGCTAGAATGGACAAAGAAAACTGAGTGAAATTACAATTTACTATGAAATGTGCAAGTCTTTCTTCTTTTTTTGTGGGCATTCAGTTGTGCTGTTTTCACCTGCAGTTAATTGCATCATCTTTCCCTGAAGAGAAAAAATGCTTAGTAAGTGGGAGAGCAGTATTGTAAAACCATTTAAAAGTCAAACAGGAAGGTTATGGGCTGTTGTAATATAAGTCAGTAAGGTAATCTGAAATTCTGGCAATTTCCATTTAGGGCCTCCTTATTTTTAACACTACTATTGAAATATTATGGTAGTTGGCATTCAGCTTGCCATTTTTCATTTGTGGGTTATGTGGGAGATGGAGTCAGGGCAGGAGTGGAGGGGTATAGCGAATCCTTGGCTTAACATTATTTGGGACAGGCATTGTTATTCTGGTCTTTATGTGAGCCAGGAGGTTGTTGTCCATCCCTTCTTGGCAAAGCATTGTTCTGTGTAATAGCATATATGATTTCCACAAGGAAATATAAATTTGGATCTGTGCTGTGATGAAAGTTAGGGTTGGGGGGGGCGGAGGAGGTTTCTGACTCTCGAGACTGAGACCCTGAGTTTGAAACATCTTCACTTTCATTTAATGCACTTGGATAATGTAATTAGTTTATTTTTGCCTGTGTGAACTTCATATCCTAGCAGTTGGTGTATTATGAATGGCTTGTGTTTGTTAAAACTGCTTTTTAGATCTTTGTGGTTACTGGATTTTCACTGACTATTTATTGATTCTAACACTTACTGACCTGGGCAGTGTTAGAATTTGTTAGCAGAATGACCAAATGGAATTTAGACTTCTCTCTCCTCTTATTTATTTTCTTATATGTGGATGTCCATACTTCCAACCTAGTACTTACTGGGAACTGAATGTTCAATTCCCTTGGCCAGCTTTCAAATATATGTGAAATATTATCACAAATTAAAACACCATGATATCTTTAATTGTGTTCATCCCTCTGCAAAAAGTGTCACTTTTCAAAAGACTAGTAGTGGGGAATTAGCATGTCTTTCAAGGTTATAAATGGAAATAAAAGGGGAGGGGCCAAATCCACCCCAAAAGAGGTGGTCTTGTGCTTCTTCAGTGGAAGCTTTCTAATTAAAAGCTCCCTTCCTTACTTTCTTGTCTTGTATGTGAACATCCCATTAATCTGAAAGAAACATGAGTAAAGGAGCAGCGCACACATGCCCTTGAAAAACTAAACCTAATGATCAAAAGAACAATATCTTATAAAATTGAGTAATTACAAAAAATACTTTGACCTCATTTTTTTGTTTATGATCCTGATTTAAGACCAGTCTGTGTTCTTCTCTGAGTGAATACATAAAAGACTCTTTAATAGAAATACCATACCTTTGCAATTTCTCTGAACAGGTACTTTGTGCTGGACTTTGAGACGGGGATTCTGCAGTATTTTGTGAATGAACAAAGTAAAAACCAGAAGCCACGAGGAACCTTGTCTTTAGCTGGAGCTATAATACTGCATGGTGATGAAGTGCCACACATGTTGGTGGTCTACTCTGCTAATGGAGAGATGTATAAGTTAAGAGGTACAGTGCTGCTTGAATGGGAGCTTCATTCTTCATGATTCAGAATCATTCTTCTCTCCTATTCCCGCTTCTGCATCTCTTCATTCATGTCTCATTTTTCTTCCCTGTACTTTCAGAAAGTAGTGGTTATACAGCTACAGTGTTACACAGTATATTATAAAACACAGTGGAACACTAGTCTGGAGTTAAATACGTATGAATTTACAATATATGAACTTTCAGGGCTGGAAGATACATCAAGAGCTATTATTGTGGCATTCTGAAGGGAGGAAAAGCTGCTTTCATTGTTGTCCACTGCATAGCATTTAGTTTCTGTTATTCATCTCCCCTGCCACCATGCTGCAGATAATGTGCAGGAATGAACCTGCTGATGGGTCAGACAAGGTAAAAATGGCAACTCGGAAGCTTTTTAAGAACCTGTGTTCTTGTGAGTCTTGGAATTATTGAATGCAGCATTAACATAAAATTTTGCCTTCCCTTGCTTCCAAATGTAAGGAAGAGTTACTTTGGAATGATTTTTTTCTTTTTTTTTATCAAGGAAATAACTTTATTTTAAGGTATTTTCAGTCTGATTGATTAACCAGGACACTTTTGTATTGAACTACTTTACAAAAAACCCCCAACAGATATATATGTATATATGTATATATAAAAGATGTAGTGTAGCAAATGTTTAAAATTGTTAGTTCTATTCTGACTACAGTTTATTAGCTGTCTATCAGGACAGAATATGCACGCCTCCTATGTGGTACAGTGTGTTGCTGTTTTATACCTAGAACTGAAACACAGGAACAACCAGGGAGATTTTTTGTTAAAGTTTTTTTGGCATTTGCACAACTAGAAATCATGAACACTTGTGGTTTCATTGTGATGCTTTTCCAAGCACTTGAGATTATAAATGACTTAAAATATGCTGCTTTTAATTTAGTGAAATCTATAAGTTTTATTCAAGTCAGTAAATATTTTTTATGCTGAGTCAATAACCGTTGAGATACTTAATAGCAAAGGATGTAAGAGAAAATATTTACTGAAATTATCCACTCTGTATTGGTGTTCTTAATTAGGATTACTGTAGTAGTGGTTGTTTAAAACGAAACCTCTCTCCCAAGTAGGTTTAGTAATATTACACAGGAGCCATCTGATACAGGCTGCAGACAATCTTTCCAATATTTTTTAAAGCTGTTTTTAAAGATGGGGGAAATTCTGGTTTTCATTATTGTGTCTTTAAATTGCATGCAAATAACACAGATTTAAAGAGAGATTTAGTTAAACTACATTAAAACAGAAGTACTTTAGTAGCTTGCCTGATAACTGAATGACAACCTTAGTGTAGAGCTTTTACTGATTTAAATGCTGTGGTGTGGCACTTCACAGAGGAACACAGGTAAAACAAAAGCGTTGTGGGTTTTGTTTGGTTTTTATTCATTTGTTTAATAAAAAAAGGTCATCTTGAGGTAATTCTGCTTTTAATAATACTTGGAGGAGATAACTATGAAGAAAACTCATAAGCTTATCTCTTCCAACTGGCCACATCATATTAAGTCGAGGTTTAGGTGTGTTGTTTTTAAAAACTTACACATAGAATAGTGTAAATTAGAATTTATAGCGCATCCTAAACAGTAAATGATCTTCCCCACCCCCATCATCTTCTCTTCAGTATCAGTTTAAGTGTGATTCCCTACATTTTTTTGTTTCTGTTGTAGCTGCTGATGCAAAGGAGAAACAATACTGGATAACTCAGCTTCGGTCCTGTGCCAAACATCACAAGGAAGGTAATTCTAAGGTAAATAATTTAAAGGGAGAAGTAACTATTTTAAGTGGGTAGGTGAAGAACAGCATGATTTGCATGATAGGCTGGCTGCTATAGTTAGTGGATTGATGTTTAGAGGTTTATGAATCAAAGCAGCAGGTTGTCATTCCTCCCTAACTGGAGCAGGTTTAAATCAATTGGAATCTTAATAAACATTGTTCTATTTATGAGAAATAATTTCATTTTAATTTAATTTAATGGCTTTTACTGTAGAAGTTTTAGGTAGATGTTAGCAGGAGCCTTTAACTTCTTTACCAAGTCTGGAAGAGGTCGTCATATGAAGGTTTATATTATTTATTTCTCTTTGGAAGTGATGTCTGAATTTTTGTCCTCAAAGAAATAAAAAATTTGGACTGGTAAAAAAAATAATGTTTGTACTTAAAAAAAGGATGGGTTGATGGTGTCTTCTGTCTCCAAGCAGAAATTATATCAATCTCTTTAGAATGCACCTTGAAAGCGGGATTTATTAAAAAAAAAAAAAAGCCCCATTAGAAATAAATTATTATTGTATTTATGTATGGTTTTGGTGTTAATATTGAGTCAGTAAAAAAAAGTCTTGCTCTTATTTTCAATTCTTTAAGCACTTCTGTTGATACCTTTACAAGAATGAAAAAGATTGCTTTCCTCATGAGTAATGGTTTGCTGTACTAAAAAAAAAATAAAATGGATGTAACTGCAAGGAGAAAGGATTCCTCCCTGCCCAGGATGCTGAGGATGTCAGTCTTCTGTTAACTGCAGTCAGAGTTGTTCATCCTGAGTATCTTTGGAAGTTGGGCTTAGAAAAGATGAATGGTGTTTTGAGGGACTGGCATTTATTGAAGTGTGTCATGTAAAAGAAAACCCAGTCTTTGTTGCTCTTTTTAAATGATGTGGACATGTCAGGAAGGAATTGTGATATAATTAAAACACTTTTTGAAGGAGAATATGTAACTTCAGTATTTTGGTACTTTTTCAATTCTTATGTGTGGCAATTAAATATGGCTTCTATATAGCTGTGGCTCAGTACCATTCGGAAAGGTGCAAATCTGCTTGATCAGAATACTCTTACAGTTGCTGTTGATTGGCAACTCAGGGACTTTCTGTGCTAGAGATAGTAACTTTCTATGCTCAGCTGCCATCAATGACTTACTCCTCAATAGATTTTCTGATAACTTCTTGAACCCATGTGAGTGTTTAGCATCTACAGTGTACTGTGATCAGTCAGTAGTACTGTTGTTCAGTATAGGTGGTGTCAGTGGCTGGTGCAGTGGCATAATTATTCTTACACTCTCTATTAATTTGCTTATATTTCTTAATACTGGAATCTTTTTTTCCTTTTGCCTGCTACTGGTAACTAATTCTGTAGAATTGACTATACTTTATTGATGATGAGAGGGGAAAGTGTGAATGAGGGAAGTATAGTGTTAAAAAGTGCTCTGGAGTGGCTGAATAGAAATTATTTGCTAGCTGTTAATAGTAATAGCAGTATGGGGGATCCTCAGAGAAAAGAAACTGAAAAACGAACAGAGATTATTGAAAACTGGAGATTATTATGGGATGCTCTGGATGCCAAAAGCATACATAGATATGAAAAACACTTGAAAGGAATAATGTTATTAGAAAATCTTGATTGAGTAGGAGGCTATTAAATACAAAGACAGTATCTATCGTAGAAGATTGAACACACAACTTTTGGAAACAGGAAGGGCTTAGAATGGGGGGCATCTCTCCAGGCTTTTTCTTGTAGTCTCACATAGTGACCTGCCACTGCTGTGGCTTTTTTCTACTTCATAGGCTCATTGTGCAAGAAAATAAAAAGATTTCCTTGACTGAGGGGGGTGATAGGCATACATAACTGAGGAACCAAATGCAAGGTTGTTTCAAACAGCAGGAGGAGGGTTCTTGCATTTTTCTTAGACCGATGAATTACAGAAACTTTGAATAGGATTCTGGAGTATAGAAGCATTTTACAGCCGGTCACACATTTCAATTAGCTTGGATCAATTTATTAGCAAACAAAAATGCTGAAGGAAATTTTTTTTTTTTTTTTGTTCCGTATTACAAGTATATATCTAAAATCAGAGTGGGCCACTTTTCACTTGATATGTTTGTTACTGAAGCACTCTTTACTTCTCCAGCTTTGTAAGCCACAAAGCAAATAGAGAATTTACATCTTCTGTATTTTGACTCTGCTTCTTGTACCAGAAGTGTACTGTACTTGAAACAATGTCATGCTTACCTGTTCCTGGGAACCTTTCTTTTGATCAGATTGGTCTCCTGTATTTCAGTATCTTTTTCCCTTTTTCCCTCCTGTCTTCCCAAAGAGTATTATCTAAGAGACAGATTTTCTGTGACTTTAGCATTGCATATAGGGCTTAGATTCATCTACAAGTAAGTTTTAAAGCTTCTCTTTGGGTATCATATACTGGTTACAAGGGAACGATGCTTCAGAGATTCCAGAAGCTATGGAAGAAATGCATTTGTATAACATCTTTGTTTTCCTCAGTTCCTTACTTCAAAACCACTGCCTGGTAGGAGTTAAGGGAAGCAAAAAATGCTGCATTTCTTTGTGATTGTGTTTTTTCCTTTCTCTTGTAGATGAAGAAGGTACATTAATATTATTAGCATGGAAGTGGAAACAGGCTGTTAAAAGTATTTTAAATTTACATAAAATAGCACACTGCTATTTTAGCTGCCTTGCTGTTTCTTTTGTGTTGGGGTTAGGGACTGGAGTCAGATAGAAAGGTTTGTAATGACATGGAGATAAGTACATGTTTGGCTTCCTTTTGAATGGTTGAGGACTTGACAAAAATACGTACGTCTGGATTTTGTTAAAATAGCCCTACCTGTGATAGAAATGTCATGATGTGATTTCTTATTTTACTGGCAGCAGGATGGGATTGCTCTTTTTCTCCTCCTTTCCCATTCTTTGATGGGTGTAGTAACTGATAATCACATCTTGTCTGTCTCTCATAGTTGCTGTCACAAACAGGCAGATGGGTACTCATGTGTTTTGGGCTTCTAGAGTTTGGACAGCATCCAAGCTCTAAGAACAGGCATCTGGAAAGTTGGAGGCTGAGTGCTTGCTCCCGCCTTCTCCTATAAGCTACACCTTTTCACAGAAAGAATGAGAGGCAGAAATTTGTAGCTGTTTTTTTAGGAGTCATACACTTGAGAATGATGTGGGATGGGAAGTGTAAAATACGCAGTGAGGGGTATGATTTATCTTATGCAAGTGGGGTATAGATTAACAAGGGAAAAATAGGATGACAAGGCAAGCAATGGGAACATTCTCAAGAATAACAGCGAAGCACTTTTTAGCTACTGGTCTTTCATATTGGAGAGATAACATGGTTTTGAAACCTTGAATAGATATTATTGGAAGGAGATTCAAGAGAAAACATGAGGATTTGGAGAATATTTTCAAAGCTGAATTTGTGTCACTATTCCTGTGAAACACTAGTAGGAGAATGTTCCTCCTTCCTACTCTGGATCCAGATCAGCACTGGTTTCCTTCCTTTTTCAGTTACTGACTGCTTCAGAATGCTACTGTGTGACTTGCTGTCTTTAAAGCTTCAGCTGGGATTGAATTAGTGGAGTAAATTAAGCAGAGCAGTGATTTAAATTTAGTTGCATCCTAATGAATGGTCAGGAGGTGAGCTATATAGCTAACAAGTGGATGTAACATAAGCTACGCCTGTCATGTTGTTTTAATTAAGTTTTACATCTTAATGATAAAAAACCAGTAAAGGATAATGTTCTCTATCAAATAATTCCCATGCTGTAAGATAGTCTTAATGTTCTTGGTATTCCCATGCAAGTTTCATTTTGCTTAATTGCACATTGCTCAACCTCCACAAGTGCAAATTTGCACTGTATTGGAAGAAATCCGTGTCTGGATAGGACTGCAGGTTTTTTTTGACAATTCTAAGTGAATATTATTGTACATTTTAAAATGAATTATTCACTGGCATTTTTAACATCTGCATGATAATTCTTTCCATAAAGGCAGATTCACTTAGTGAAAGTTTCAAGTCTTTGTGAATGTTCTCGTGATTCTTTTATTCACATGAAACCTTTTTTCCTTCTGAGCAAGTTCACTCATTCCTCCTCTGGTACGCTTGTTTGCTTCTTCTTCTCAACCGTGACCTATGAAGTTAACTAAAGAATAGTACTTCTAATGAAAGCATGCTTTGGAAATTCTTGCAGTCGTGAGACTGAGAATGAAACAGTGCCTGGCTGTAGATACATGAATGTTTGATACCTTTTTCCTCCATTTGGAAGCTGCATGAAGGTAAGAGTTCTCTGTTTCAAAATCCTTCTATAGAAATGGAAAAAAATGATTTAGGACAAAACATGAGCTTGCTCAAATGATTCTTGATGAAGAAAAGTTTTTAGGATGGAATGATTATCATAGTCTCTTGCTTAAAAGCATACATGTGTATTGCCTTACTGAGAATGATGAAGCACTGTAATATCCTATCAGGAAAGTTAGTACCGTAGATGGTGCTTTACACAAATGTGCAAAGTATACCATAAGCCGATCCATTTTCAGTGCTGAAATTTGGATGTTATGTAGATTCAGTCATTTGCATTTTAATATTTGCAAATTATAGTGTAAATTAAACATATCTCTGTCCATATTTTTCTTTTATTAGTGTTTGTTTACTTAAGATGCATTGGAAAAGAAGTAGATGGGAATTCAAATACTTAATGGGGATGTCTCAAAATTGTAATTACTTTCTGAAATCATATGACTTCTCATAGCTCTAAAGCTGCACGCTGGCATTGGTTCTGTGCTATATATGTGCACAGTAACGGAATATCATTTCAGTATGTATTATGCTGTAGAAAACATCTGTGGCACAATGCCTGTGAAAATACGATTATCAGCCATAAACAGATATGGCAGTTCGCTTCAGAAATGAGTTTATTGATCTCTGCAGCATTGCATTTACTTTCCAAGGTAAACAAATCTGCTTGCTTCTGGTAAATGGTGGAAAACATTTCAGCTTCTTTGTGAGCAGGAAGGGCAATCTCCAGGGAGAATGAGTCATGAAAACATTAATAGAGGTGGAACTTACTGTTCTAAAATTACATTATTTTAGTTGTTAGGATTTTTGATATCTAAATGGAAGCATTCATTATACTGCTTTTTTCATCTTGGAGGTGAACAGTCTACTAAAATAAAAATCTTAACTATAATCTATGTTAGCTAAGTGTATTTTGGCTGGTTTTAGGTCATAAACCTAAGATGAAGGCAAGTAACAGATTAACCTTTTATTAGCTTCTGTATTATTCTTCTATTAGTTTCATTTTATTAGTAGGCAAACAGTTGGAGCAATGGTAAAGTATAGCCTCAGGAAAGAATATTTGTAGTCCTTTCGGAGTGCTTCAGCCTGTGTATTTATTGACTCATTTGCACCATGCATTACTAATTGTTGGAGAGATAATGTCTTCCTCTCATCAGACTTTTCAGTATTTATTTATTTGCAAACCGGAGAGCAGTAGGACCAAAGAAAACAAGATATGCTAACAGTTAGAGGGACAGTCATACCAGCAGTGCTAGGGTGAGGAGCAGGGGATTAGGAATAAAGATCCAGCGATAACTGTAATTGCTTTTATTTCCTGTGAGAGTGTCTTAAATGTCTTTTATGGTGTGATGTGTGATTAGAATGTTTTTGACTGTGGAAAACATCACATAGACTTTAACATTTTAACAAAAATAGAAAACTAGTTTTTGCACAGCTGTGTGCCAATGTGAAAGATGTGCTTGTCATTCCCTGTGTTTAGTCTGAGGAAGTTCTGCAAAAGAAGGGTCAATTATTTGGCTGGGATGTAGTTGTTGACAATGTGTTGTAAAATTCAAATGTGCTGAAGGGGCAGAGTGTGTGGTTCCTGGAGAGGCCTCTCCTGGCAGTGGCAGGAAGAAGCTGTCAGAAGCAATTAGCTGCCGCCTTGACTCCTTGGGCAGAGCAGGCACAGTGTACTGCTGCTGTTCTTTATGGCATTGAGGTGTGGAGCCCCACTTCAAAAGGTTTTCGGTGATTGTATAAACTGCTTCCTGCACACATTCACCCAAGCTTTGTGTGTGACTGCTTTTGCAAGTTTAAGTTGTAATCTTTTATATTTATGGGGCTTTGCCTAAGGGATAGCTTCATGGGTTGCTGGAGGGCCTGGTGCTGGGCTCATTCAGGGTTTGTGTGTTACAAACATACTCTAAAGAGTAATTCCAAGCTAGATGCTAGAATCATAGAACAGTTAGGGTTGGAAAGGACCTTAAGATCATCTAGTTCCAACCACCCTGCCATAGATTTGTGTCGTGAGCTAGTGGAGTTGTCTGGCACATTAGTGGTAAGTGTTGGATCGCAAGATGGTTGAAGGGTGTAAAGGGACAGAAAACAAAGAGGTAAGGAAAACTTGCTTATGGACTTATAAAAGATGTTCAAACCAATGTATTTGGCTCTGATATCTGGCATAGACTATGGCTGTATGTGCTACTTCAAGATTGCTAATCTTCCTGCTGCATAGTATTCATAACTGTCTTGTTCTGAGAGGAGAAGGAGAGGATTCTAGGAGAGGGGCTCACTTGCGGAGGTGGTCTCTCCCTGGAGATCTCATAGCACTGTTGTTGGGCAAGGCATGCAGCTGAATGTCAGGCACACTAGGCTATGTGCTTGTGTACATAACAGATTTCAGCTTACCTAGTGTCCTTGCAGCAGGACAGCTGTCTTGAGCCCTACCTGCTACTGCAAGTATAGTTAGTTATTCCTGATTTTTCCCTCCTCCCCCACAGAGTCACAAACTCCCTAAAATGCCCTAAAAACTGCCCTAAAAATGTCTGTTCACCAACAGTTGCTGTAAGCTGCCACGTGCCTTCGCAAAGTTTAATGAAAACCTGTCTTAAATGCACTATGGTCCCATACACTGTTTATTTTGCCTTAAGTCACAGTTTAGGAATACAGTTGATGTAGCCCAGTGAGTTGTGATATGAAGTGAACTAGAGCAAATCTTGCAGGAAAAAAAATCTAATTTGGATGAAGACGACTCCTAAAATAATGGACATATCAGGTTCTTGGAAATGTGTTCATGACTGACTTGTGATACAAAGCCAGTTTAAAAATGGCAGCTAGCTAGCAGCTTTTGTACTAGTAGTTCACTATGAAATTTATGACGTAAATGGGGTTTGGTGAAAGGCACATTGTGTTAGATAACAAAATGAGGTGTGAGCTGCAGTCAACATGTCTGATGTAATCTGCAGGTCAGCTGCAGATAGTATACTGCAGTTTTTTAACACTGTCTTAGGGAAAAATAGCATCGAATTGCCAAATAAGAAGAATTGTATCGATGTTAACTTGGAATATATGTGCATTTCAACTCGTGAACATACCTCTTGACATGTGCAGGTTAAATGAGATTATTTTGGCAGCTGTTCTTTGTGAAAACTAACTTGCTTTTGACATTCCTTCTGATTCTGTATTTAAACAGAAACAGTACATAGATTTTTTTATATTTCATATTTATTTGTATTTTAGGTTACTTTTATTATTTGCAGATCTGTAACTCCACACTCCGTCCCCAAGAAAATCAAAACATAACTGCACTTTTCATACAATATTGCTTTTTTTCCTTTAAGAAAAACTCACTGTTTTACATGGCTGCTGTTTGTCTGAGTTTTAGGATCAGTTTAGCTATATAAAGGTAGCAGTTGTGTATTTTTAATATTGTGGTCACATGATACTAGAATGTCAGTGATACTCAGGTTTCATTCTAAAACCAAAATAATTTTTATTAAACTGGAAGATAATTTGATCTTACGTTGGAAAAAGGGGAATGATCCTGTTCTTCCTCTGCAGCCTAAATTTAGTTTAGAAGTATTCTAATGCTATAATCAGTTTAAAAACCAAACATCAGTTAGTATATTCTGCTATTATATACTATGCATAGCTTTTTTTCTGTGAAACTTCTGTTTAAAAAAGGATATTCAGTCACACTCAGTCTCCGTCATCCCCCTTTTTCTCCTGAATACATTTTTCTCTGCCTCTTATTTTAATTGCAGTTATGTCTAAGCAATGCTCTTTCACATGGAAGATAAATTAAAAACCTGGCAACTTTCTGTGCCCTTCTGACAAATTCCACCCCCTTTTTTTTCGCCTTAGAGTCAAATTGAATTTGAATGCAATTGTGAATGATCAGCCAAGATGGTTAATTTTTGAATGTCTGAATCCACAGATGTTTATTATTATAATCTTCTTAATCATGGTAGTGAAGAATATATTGGTTGCAATACCAGAGTCAGACCATCATTTTTGGAAGCGTTTGTAAATGTAGTTCAGACCAGTGGAGTAATGCTTCTTTCTGTGTGTGCTGCAGCCCTTTGAACACTGGGAATATGATACCTGTTTTTTAAACCTTTAAATGCCTCAGGAAGTCTGAAGTCTAGTTTTGTGTGGGGGTGACAGAGGGATCTTGTAACTTCACTCTTCCTTCTTGGCAGTGCCAGATAATCTGCCTTTCACAGGCAGTATAGTGGTAGCAGGATGTCTGACTTATTCTAGTGCTAGCTGGAACTTGTCCACCTTGCATGGGAAGTCTTTTATGTGAAATAACCACAGAATTGCAAAGTTTGACCTGTGAGAGAGAAGGGGAGAGATTGTGCCCAAGTAGTATTTTTATTGCACGTACCAGCAGACTCAAGAGCAGTACCCCACTTTGATGGTAACTGTCTTAGCAATGCTGAAGCCTGCCAGTATTACTTGTGTAGGGCTTGTAGCAGAGGTGATCTGCTATTTCACCCATGGGCTACTAATTGTAGCACTTCACCCTCCGAAATGGTGTGTATTTCATGAAGCAACAGTTTTTCTGTTTTGTTTTAACCTTGCAGGTGCAGTCAACAGTTTAAATAGAAGGGAAAAGCCCTTTTGTATTGCACTTCTGTATATCATGTCCCATGGTGCTCTAGTGCACAGCTGAGCTTGAATGAGAATTGTTGTCCTAAAAAACTTGTGTTTGAGGGCTGCAGCAAACAAACCAAGATGGCAACACTGACACAGTTGGAACAGAGAAAGTTCTTGAATTTTCAGTCTGATTTTATAGGTTGTCTGTTAAAGATTATTTATGCTGTGGATACTGTTGGAGATTTATTTCTGTCCTTTTTTGCATCTGGGGTTTATCCCAAGCTTACTGCAAAATATTGTGGCTCTTTAAGCCATATTTAATTTTAAATGTTAATGTTTAAGTGATGTGTGGATTTGCCTTGCCAAAATTACAGCTTCTGTTGTGCTGAAAACAGCACTGCACGGTTTCAGAAGTTCATCAGGTGAAACCATTAAGAATCATTTTCTTGCTGTTCACAGCAGTTTGGTGAATTACAGATCAGTGTCTTCATAAAAGGTATTTGTGTTGGTATTGTTATTACTCTGTTTGCAAAATCCTTCCTAACCTTTCCTAAAAAGCATGGTTGCAAGAATTTAGCAGCATGTTAATATGTAAGAGTTTGTGAAGATTTTTGTGAAGGTCAGTTTCAGACAATCCAAGAAACAAAGGTGACAGCAACAGTGTTTCCAAGAAGATCCCTGCTGAGCAATGCAGATGTATCAGAAGGACTAAATCAGCTGTGAGTTACACCTCCAGATTTAGGTTTTTGAGTAAAGTAGAACAGCACAATCTGTAGGGTGAATTGTAAATTATTTACTTGTGTGAAGGTTGCTAATATCAGCATCCCATTGCTTGTTGTAGAACATTTCATCCTCACGAAGTAGAAGCTCATCTCTGCTGCCATCTGGGACAGTTAATGCTGCATCTCCTAGTGGCCAGCGACATATGAATCAAAGTGGGCCAACTGTTGTAACCATCACACATCACAAATCACCCGCAGCTGCTCGAAGAGCAAAGAGCCAACGTTCTGGTCAACTCCATGAAGTTAGAGAGGTAAGAGACAAAAATGTGCTGGTTTGCTATAACATTGAACAGCTTATTTTGCTTTAGGATAAGCAGTCAAGTCTGACAAGTTAAAACAGTTTTTTGTTTTCTACTTCGTTTGACTGCTTTGTATTGATCCCTCACAGAGCAAAAGGCAGTCTTGAATTCTGGTAAAGCTTAGAAGCCTGGTCTGTACAGGTTTTTTTATGCCAATGATAAAATTAGTGTGTGCACATGCTTTAAAGAGGAACTAGATTGACCACAGCTCCCAGACTTTGCAGTGATGCTGCAGTGTAGGGGGAACATCTCTTAAGCTGCATGCAGCAAAACCTTTCAGATTGGAAAGCAGGCCCTGAAGCATTTAGCTTTCTGGCATATAGCTAAACCCCTCACCCCTTTGATTAAGTCTGACAAATTAATGTGAAAGAAGGCACAGCTCCCCACACTTAGCAGTTTCTTTCTGTGTGGCAGTAGTTTTAACTTTGTTGTCAAGTTTCTCCTGTTCACCTTGCGATGGAAGAATACTTTGTCCATATTAAACCCATAAAAAGCAAATGAGAAAACATGTTTCTTTCAGAGCAAGTTTGCCAGGATTTAAGAAGCATAACTCGTGTAACAATTTAAGTCTGCCTTCCAGAGAGCAAAAAGAGTACAGAGTTTTAATATTAAATAGTACGGCAGACTTGCATAGAACTTGCTTTTCTTCCATATTTTAACTTTGTCGGAATTTCTTGCTATTCTTTAATAGTGGCTTTGTAGGTATCTCTCCCACCATTCTACCAAAGAAACTTTTGGCAGCCTAGCTGCTTTAAAGCATTCTTTTATGACATGGGTTTAAAATATCTACCCCAGTCTCTCAAGTTACAATCTTAACAGTCTGCTTTTAAGTTTACTTTCCCTAAATGCTTTATAAATGGACACCTTTGATATTAAGAATTTTAATAAATTCTTAGTGTGTGCTCACAGTGGTTACTCAAATTACACATCCTGATGGTGAAGGCTTGATTTTATTCTAGTAACATTAAAAGTGAAAACTTCCTTTGTATCCTCTATTGTATTAACTATAGTCAATCCTTGCTCTGAAGAGCATGCTGTCTGAATGTCACCCATGTTTTCTTTAGATTATAGAAAACACATGTCTGGTTGTTTTTCATTAGAATATCTTGTCTTTGCCTACCAATCATCTCCCCCAGGTTGTTTCTACCTTATTAAATGTATTTGTTCTTGTAGCTTGAATTCAGAGTGCACGTTAAAAGTAGTGAGAAAATAAACAGTGGGAGCTGTTGCAACTTTGTCAAATTAAGATCTGTAGGGCTGAAAGGAATTTAAAACAGAGAATTAGTATATGGGCTGATCATAATAAGCTGGAAAGGGAAAAAGTCAGCAGATGCAAAGAACTACACTTGGGAAGGAGGAAATAATGCTAGCCTTTAGTCAAACAGAATGAGTGGCTACCTATCATCTCTGCAGAAATGCCTGAGTGGTGGAGACTCATTTGTTTACACTGCATTGCAATGTATGTGATTCCGAAAAGGTAAATATTACAGGACTTTAATCTGTAATCATAGAAGATAATTATTTTGCTGTGCTTGATGTGAAGAGTATTAACTCAGCTGCAGCACCAAATCCTGTGGGAGCAATTTAGAGGGCTGCAGTAAAAAAACCTTAGACACTGAACATATGATAATAATAGAAGGTTAAAAGAAATGAGTGTTTTTCAGGGAGGGAAGATGGTACTAAGATAAACAATGCATAGGAAAGTTTTATATGGAGGCATGTGAATGTTACCTTTCTGGTAGTGCTTTTTTTTTTTTTTTTTTTCTTTTTTTGGCGTGCTGCTGCTTAAATAAGAACTTATCAGTGGAAAAATCAGTCCTCCTCCCTCTTTCCCAGCCTCATGTAAAAGGAGCCTGCTTCACTGATCTTGTTCCCATCTTGTGAGAAGATAAGTCCGTTTTTCCAGATTAAGGAAGCAGACAGATTTCATTTCAATGGCATGCTCTATGCATTTCATTCTCCCTTCTTTTCAAGAGTGAATGTGATAGACCTGGCTATATGCTGCCTGTTTTTTTTCAGGGGATTTTATTGTTCCCCAGGTCAGTGGTGACTGTTACATCTAGCTTCTCATGTTAAATTTATGAATAAAGAGATGGGTCCAGAGTTCTTCTCAAAAGTGCACTTAAATCTGTTATAGTCCTTTTTTTTTCTTTTTTTTTTTTAATCCGAAGTACTAAAAGTACAATAAGAGAGTTAATCCTGTACTCAACACCCAAATCTTTGCCTTTTATTTGGAAGTGTTTGGTATGATTTGGATGAAGGGAAAAGACAGCAAAAGGATTATAGATCTGTGTTAGTATTCCCCTTATAGAATGAAGTCACTGAAGCTTTGATGTGCAAATAAGCTTTTTTTATTGTGCTACAAGAAGGACTACATTAATTTTACATCTTGTAAAATACAGCAGTTGAATCAATGGAAAGAGTTGATACACCTTTGGAAAGTGAAAAGAAGCCTGTGTTTTTTTAAATTTTTAAAACAATGTCATGGTAATACTACAATATTATATATGAGATCTGTGAAAAACAGCAATGCTACAAAAGAGGCATTCTTCACTTGGGACACAGGGTCTTCACTAGCTTGGACAATGCCTCTGGGAAGTGCTGAATTTGAAATAGCTGCTCAGTTCTATACCAGTTTTTCTTGATTTGGCCATGTTATTTAGAAACAGTGAAGTGTATCTCTGTGTTGCAAACAGGACAAAATGTATTCCAATATTTAACATAATGCAGTGATATTTAGTGATACTGAGTTGTACTTTTTCTCCTTTTTTCCTTTTGTAGTAAGAATAAACAACACATTGTTTCCTTGCGGTGTTTGTTCTGGCTGATAGAGTTATTAATTTATTTTACACAGACCTATTTAGCACCAAACTGACATGCAACGTTCTATAAAAGTAATAAAAGTAACTGTGTAAGTCTCCAAAATGATACATGTATTAAGTGTTTCTTAAGTGTTGTGAAACAACTTTTCCTTTCTTCAAAATTTTGGTAAGCTGAAATTGAAGATGAATATTGAGCTTTTGACTGCTATAAAACTTTACTTTTAATACGCAAGCTACTTTTGTATAGCTCTGAATTGAAAAGGAGCTCAGGAGCATTCTCATCATAGTGTAATTTTTTGTTTAAAATAATATTGTTGTCTTAAATAATTTCTTTGCTGATATTAACTTGATGTTAATAGTCCAGTCCATACTGGTTTATGGAATGTTACAACAAAATTAAAACTCCCTATGCATCAATTTGGGAGAGCTGATTTACTATGTATTGCATTTTATGTGGAATTATTTGAGATCCTACCTCTTTATTTGGGCCATAACTTATCATTAAAACGGTGCTTTCAACTGATTTTTCAATAAGTAATTTTATGGTAACCTAAGTGTGTGTGGTTTTAAAATGGAATTCTGTTTTTTAAACTGTGCCTATTATTGTTCTCTTAGCAATTTCTGATAAGAGTTATGCTTGAAGAATTCTTTAATGCAGGCAGTTAAAATTAACTGGAACATAAAGCCAAGTGACCCTATCACACTTCATATAAATCCTAACTGTCACTGAACTAAATAATAGTAGCACACTTCGTCTTGGAATCATATTTATTTTGGCTGAGAACATCTGACCATTGTACAACCTCTGCCAGAGTTACCATTGTTGTTAAAGAACCAAGAATTGCAGTATATGACCATTTTTTAGTAACTTATATTAATTATTTACCAAAGTTTAGAGAAATGAAATTTTATTAACCAAAGGAAGTCTAGAGATTTTTATTTTTTTTTCCCTACAATTTTAAAAGTTGGTAGAGAAATTCCTGATCCCTTTGAAACGGGCTGTTTGTTACAACTTTGAATACTCTGCAGTGGGATAGTCATGAGCATGTATTTCTGAACATCTGGAACAGTGGTATCCAGATACCATGGGGCCTCCACCAGTGTAAGACATCTGTTTTATGTGCCAGTGGGCAGTTCCAGAATTTGGAAAGGACTGCTTTTGGTAAGATGACAGTCCTACTGCTTCTTTCATGTCCTTTCCTGTATCTGAACATTATTACTCTTTCATTCCTGCAGGAATTATGAAACTAGATGACAGTTCTTTGCTTCCTCCCTTACAATATAGGAAAACATAGACCTAGGGCTTCATGGAGTGAGGTTTACCTGCAATTTTGTTGGTCTACAGTTGGTCAACTAAGAGAACGAGGTGATTCTAAAACACTTCGGGGATTTTCAAACAAGAAGTGAACATCTTTAGGTCACTGTAATATTGGGATAGCAAAATCAGGAACTGTGACTGTTAGTGAAAAAGAATGCTGTTGTCCATGAAGAACTGTTTGTCCTGTTGCAGAATTATAGCACTGCACAAGCAGTTCTGTAGGTAAAAAAGCAGATGCAGTACTTAATTCACTCTGGGAAGGATTCAGACTTGCAGGACTTTCATGTATGTGAAAGCACAAAGGCAGACTAAGCTGTGAGTATGGTTATGGTGAAACTTTGTAATCAATGTTTAAGCTGGTAGTAGGGGAAAACCTGATCATTTTTGTTCCATGCCAGATTTTAGTTTTCAACTTTGAAAAAGTGAAGTTTTGCTTTTTATTTAATTTTTTTATCCTCCTTTTGTTTCTCTGGAAGTACATAATCAATGGATAAGACCAATTCAATGCCAATTTTAGCAAAAAGAATGCTGTAGCTCTTGATGTTCGGCATAGCACTGAGGTGACATGAAGTGTGATGAGGGCGTGTGTAAAAAATTGGCTTGGATTCTTGTACAGGACATTGTGCATAAACAGTGTGAAGTATGGATACCAGATATGTTTCTAGTGTTTAACTTTTCAAATCAAAGTATCCTGTTTTCTGTTAATTTGGAGAAACAATATGGTGTTACTGTGAATGGCAATTTTGGAAAGGACACAGAGGAGGAATTTCTGTTAGTTTAAGATCTTCACTTTTAACTGGGCTTGTATTTAA